TATTTGCTCATCAAGAGATGAGCAAATCATTAACATCCCCCCACCCCCAAGCTGAGAGAGCACCTGTGTCTCTGAAGAGAATAGATCCAAACTGCCACACTCCTAAATTCCAGGGCAGTCACAACTCTGCAGACAGGTGTAGCAATATGGAAAATACCAGGCCTGTGCTTGCAAATAGGGGTTCCCCTAGCTTACTAATATGCACAGTTCCCTGTGCAAAGAGGGCACCCCACAGTGAGCAGTTAGAGAAGTGTCATATATGTACTGGTAGAGAGCAGGCAGGTGGCTTGCCTGGGACTAATTGCTAGAAATTGTCAAATATTTAGAAAGCATGTGTGTCTGTCTTGGGTTCACAAAATGGATAGCTGAGAAAATGTCACCTCTGTGGCATTGTTTTGAAGGTTCCCCTGCTTTTCAGTGGCTATGGACTACTCCTTTGTGTGTGGAGACTTCCTTGTACTTTCAGCCACTATTTCCAGCCCGTCTTCAGTACATCAGAAGATGGGAAAGCAGCAGCTTTGCTGGTGTCTGCAAGGTAAACAGGGAAACTGTGAGACTTGGCAGCATGAGACCAGTGCAATCTGCAGCCTGGATGATTTAAGAAACACGACACGTTCTCATCACTCCACACCCCCTGGCAGCACAGTGTGGCTGTCTGATGGAATGCAGGCAAGCCTGAGGCATGGTTGGGGCACAGCTATCCCCGTTGCCTGTGGTTCTCTTGATAGGCTTTGGTTACTATCCTGTTTCTAGCCATGCCCCGCTGTTTGGCCACTTTGTAAGTTCGTGGGTATAGTGATTGGGCTTAAGGGTTACTATGGCTGACAGTGGATAGCAATTCTTGCTCCCCCAGTGGTCTTGCCTTGTTTACCAGTGCCTTCTGGGGAAACAGAAGTCTCAAGAGAATGCAGCCAGAATGGAGGAACTTGGCCAGTTCTGATTATGCACAGTAAGACTTGTTCAAAGCCAATGTCCCCAGTATTTCCCCACATAGAATTCTGTGTGCCTTTTGCTTTATGAAGTCTTCAACTGTCATAAAAATGTTCATGTTGATACATGATGCATACAGAAGATATGTTGCTAGAATTTTAAAATAAATTGCAAGTGCTTCGACGATTTTTAAATTTTTGTGCCCATTCAAAAGAAAAGCCTGTGAAGTTGCAGCAAAATGCCTCCCACAGGGATGCCTGAGATGCGCGTGGGCCACGGGTGTGTGGAAAGCCATTTCGCTTTTGTCTGAGTTCAGAAAGACTGGCCAGCTCTGTCCACCTCAGCAGCAACTATAACATTATTCTCTGCCAAAGCAGTCCCGAGGACTTCTAGCCCTGCACTCTGTCTTCTTACGAAGCGTGGCACACAGTGACTCTGCTTACTGGGGCGTCTATCTTAGGAACCATCAGGACCAAACCTAACTGCTGGTCACTTCCTTTGGGAGCTCTCTTCCTGGGCTTGACCTTGCCTGCCCTCAGGCCTTCCTCAGGGTGGATTTCCCCTTTTCTGATGTCACCTCCCTCTTTCCCAGGGTAGGCTGGGCTTTTCATGGAAGCAGAATGAATGTGGCTGGGTACTCAGGCACCACCAGCCCTGCTCTAACTCTGTAGCAGGTCAGTTCAGACCACTCCCAAAGACTTCTCCCTCCCCAGAGGAGGAGTGGGGCCTGTCTGGCTATTTCTAGGTGTTTCTGGACTAAACACAGTAGAGCTTTCCCTGGAACTGCAAGGAATTTTGAGGGATGAACCTGCAAATATCATTGTTGCCCAAAGCAAAATGTCATTCCCAGTCTGTGCCAAGCTGTGCCCCAGATACTAGGGACTTATAGAGGGGAGATAAGACTGCCCTAAAGAAATTATAGCTTCACTGAGAGGGCACAGCAACCACCCTAAATCTTGAGCAAGCAAGACCAGAGGTTACAGCCAAGAGCAGACTGGGAGAGCATCCCACTACCCCACCTTCTCACACTACAGGCTGCAGGGTCCTCATCTTTAAGGGTCACCCCCCCACCTCGCCTCATAGGATGGCTGTGAGGTGTGGAGGGAGGAAGCAACAGACTCTGGCCCCTCAACACCCTCCCTGCTGAACAAGCGCACCAGCCCCCCTCCTCCCTCCTTCCCCTTTTTGGAGGATGCTGGCTTTCTAGATAAGAGCAGGAAGCCTCTAGTTTGTGGAAGGATGTTGAACAAACTGCCCACATCAACTGCCACCTCAACCCCCAGGTTTTAAATGTTTCTTGTGAGATTTTGGTCAGTGTAATGGTAACTGTCTACAAGGCCTCGGGCTAAAGGAAATGTTTCCTTCAGCGTCTGTTTGGGTTTGGTTTTGCTCTGGTCCTGTTATAAGTGAAACTGATAGTCATTCGATCATGCATGAACCACAAACCAAGAATACTCACAGCCTATGTGCTACCTGTAGGTCCTGGGGCTGGGGCTCAACCTTCGTTTGAAGAAAAATACTATTTCAAAGCTTTTTTGGAGTTGTCATTTGTATTTGGTTGTTTATCCAGCTATGGACAAAACAGCTCATACTTCCATGCCAAACTAGCTCTTTCCTTTGTGGTTTTTTTGTTTGTTTGTTTGTTTTTTGTTTTGTTTTATTTATTTATTTTTTTGGTCTGGTTTGACCCAGCCTTCTGCCTCCGGCTGCAGTCCTAGCTCAGTGGCCTCTGTGGAACACTGGGCTTTATTTCATATTAGAATGAGTCAGCATAGCATTGGAAGGTAGTTTTGAGCATTCCTGTTGATTATCATGGAAATGTGGAGGCAGTGTCCACTTTTGGCTTTTCTCACTGCTTGACTCCAAGCTAACACTCTTTCTAGCATCATTCCTAGGTATTTTAAGGTGAATGGAAAGGGTGAAGGTTTATAATAAACTGTTCTGCAGAAAGGTAGTTCACCCACCCACAGTGACCAACACTCAGAGAACCTCTGCCTTGTGCTTGGGTGTTGTGTTATATGGGGCCTTTTGTCATGTTGTCACAGGGAACCCTCTGTGACTTCATGTGATTCAGCATGGTGTCTCTTCATTATTTTAGATACCTTCCCTAGTGCATGACGCAATGGCATATAGTTTCAGTTGCAAACAGATCATGTGTGCTTTTGGTTTTTTTGTTAACAGATGAATGTCTGGTGCTGGAGCTATCAGTTTCCCTAAGTGTGGAATAAGAAAAACAAAAAAAACAAAGAATCCACCCACTTGTTCCCTCCACAGCTTTTTGTTAGCCTGTGTAACTACTGTTGAGATTTGTGTGCTGTCTGTGTCCTGTGAGATAAGTATATGTATCAGGTACAGGGGCTTTCTTATTCTTTAGGATTCTCTATGTAAACCATCATGCCAACTCAGAAATAAGCGTTATGTTTTTTCTTTTTCCTTCACATATCTTGTATTTCTTTTCCTTGCCTTATTCCATTGGCTAAGACTCTCAGTGCAATGTTACAGATTCATGGCCATGGCAGATATAATTTGTTCTATTAGGAGTATATTGAGTACAAACTTTTCTCAAACAGATTTGAAATTTCTTAGTTACCAGAATTAGTTCTCTGCTTCTGTGGCTTTAAAACTACTTCATAAGTTAATTTCTAAATCTGTAACCGTATAATAATTTATAATAACTTGGTATAATTTGTACTGTGGAGACATTATTATATTTGTTTTTTTAAAGTAAGTAGCTTTGCCAGGACTGTCATCTGGTGGAAAGCAGCATGGTGGAAGCCAGCTATTTTAAAATAGTTGACAACTGAAAATCGATCCTGCCCTTTAACTGTTTAAGTGTGTAATCACAACCCAGTCACAGCTCCATCCAGAGGCAGATGGAAACCTCGTAAGCTTCATGTGAGATTGCCTGCTTCATCAACAGTAACAGGAAGTTATGTCCACCAGCGGATGGATAGATGAACAAATCGTGGAGTGAGATACTTGTTATAAGAAAGAGTGAAGTCCTAGAAGATCCTATGGGATGGACAGGACTCAGAAACATTATTCTCAATGAAAGAATCTAGTTGCAAAGGGCCATATATGGCAGGAGTCTATTCTACAAAATGCCCAGAACAGGGAAATCCACAGAAAGTAGATGAGTGGTTGTCAGGAGGCCAGAGAGAGAACGGGATGATAGACAGTGAACACTTGTGTGAGTGTGTGTGTGTTGGGGGGTGTGCATGTGTGTGGGGTGGTATGTGTGTTTTCTTTTTGGATGTTGAAAATGATCTAAGATTAGATTTTTAGTCTTTTTAAATTAAGTTTTATTTCAATATGTATGGGTGTTTTGTCTATGCATGTCTATGTACCACATGTGTGCAGTACCTGAGGAGATCTGAGGAAGGCGCCATATCCTCTGGAATTAGAGTTGCAGATGATTGCGAACCATGTGGGTTCTGGGAATCAAACCCCAGTCCTCTGCAAGAGCTCCGAGCTGTAGCTGAGTCATCTCACCAGCCTCTAGTGTTCGCTTTTAACGAGGGTTATTAAATTTGTGACTTTACTAAAAAACTACTGAAGTGTACACTTGGAGTGGGCAAATCTCATATATATAAATTATATCTTAAGTAATGCTTTTTATGGGAAAGAACGTGTGACGTAACTAGTGGCCAGACTAGACAGAGATGACACCAGATGTGGAGTAAAAGGACTGTCTCCAGCTTGAAAGGCCGTGGCCAGGGAAGCTGAGGCGACTGTTTCAGGTGGGACTTCACATGCCTCACTAGGGAAGCAGCCTGTGTGGGTCCTTGCGGGCTGGACATCAAACTTCAGACCCTGGGCAGCCACATTCCACCCTGAACTGGCTGCCAGAGAACACAAGAAGGCTTGGTGTAGGGCATAGGTGTGGAAAGGCTATGCATGTAGCAAAAAAAAAGAAATTGACATCAAAATAAAGCAGTCTCCAGAAGACCCTGAAATGGGAAGCAAGAATGGGGGTAGGCAACTGGTACTGTTGGAAATGGGAGGCTCAAATAAGCAACTAACATTGTCCCCAGAAAACTAATGCTCTCTTTTTCTTCTTTCTCTTCCAGACTATAGCCCTCATTTTCCCTTGGTGAGTACAAAACTTTCTAAAAATTGTTTCTAATGTATGATTAGTTAGCTAAAAATGTCTGAGATTTAATTGTCATATAAGGCTTATCTTGTTGGGAAACAAGCCATGTGGTCAGAGGTTAACAAGTGAATTTAGTGCCTCAACTCCCTCAGCGGCTCCCAGCACACTTCTCGTTATTTTCTTCCCTCCTGGCATCCCTCCTAGCTCAGCCACTCGGTGTCTTGAAACACATTGTTGAGAGTAGTTCCCACGTGCTTTCCTTTCTCTGTCCTGTTTCTTTCACAAGGGCCTTGCCTTATCTCAGTGGCACACATTCCGAGCCCTTTAGGGAGCACTGCAGCACGTGATTGCCTAGTGGGAATTCCTTCCTAAATGAATATGCTACCATGGGGGGAGGGGGGAATCTGCTAAGAAGATGCTTTTCTCAATGGCATTTTTGGTTAATAAAAAAAAGAAAAAGCATTGGGAAGACTGAGGCAGGGGTATCATAAGGTGGAAGTCAACCTGGGCTACACAGCAAGACTCTGTCCAAACGGTAAGGGCTGAGCATGTACTCAGTGCTAGAGTGTTTGCCTAGCATCACAGGGTCTTGAGTTTGATTTTAACATTATAAAAATGAATAAAAATTAACTATAGATATGAAAAAAAGAAAAAGCTTCAGTGTCATGGGATCTTGTGTTTTACCAAATTGTACATCTCTGATGCCTGTAAGGAAAGAAAGAAAAAACATATATATATATATATATATATATATATATATATATATATATATATCATCCTAGATCAAATCTTGTTTTTGTTTTGTCTTGTTTCAGACAGGCTCTCACTGTGTTGCCAGAGTTGGCCTCAAATTCATAATCCTTCTCCTTCAGCATCCTTAGTGATGAGATTCCAAGCCTATACTACCATTGCCTGCTTCACAGCCTTTTTCAAAAACATTTAAGTCAACTTAATGCTGTTCTTCTTTTCAAAAGAAAGGGAGGGAGGAATCCTCCCTGTGTTTGTTGAGACAAGGTCTCCATCTGTAGGTCTGGATGGCCCAGAACGCACTCCGTACACCAGACTGGCCTCAAGTTCATAGATGAACTTCTTGTTTTTCCTGAGTATTGAAATTTGGAGTGTGCTCCACCAATGAGTTTTGAAATGACTACAAGAAGAGAAGGGAATGCTTAGCCCGTGTGCTGCCCTTAGTGAGGGTCACCGGAGTGTCAAACAGAAAGTCCCATTTCCTAAGGACACAGCCTTCTTTGAAATATCTTTGTTAGTGGGGCATGCTGCCACATACCTGCAACCCCAGGTCTTGGGAGGTAGAGGCAAGTAGTTCTGGAGTTCAAGGCTAGCCTGGTCTACATGAGACCCTGTCTCAAATGACAAAACAGAAGCAACAACAATAAACTTTTACTGTATTCTAGATTTTTAAGGTTGGTAGATTGGTTCATTTGTCTGGCTGGCCTCCTCTGTTAGGCAAGGGGTCCTTCGTGGTATATCCCTATCTGAATGTGAGTGGCTGTGGTTGTTCCTGCTTTTATCAAAGGCAGCCTAGTTCCATGGCTGTTTCTCAGTGCTTTGGTAAGGTGGGCTAAGAATAATCAAGAATGTATCAAGCTAAGAAAGAAGGAAGCCTTACTGAGTTTTACCACCCTGCTATGTGTTGCATCTTTGTTAGATGTCATCAATTATAAATGGCATCCAACTCTGATTGGGTAAATGGTGACAGTGGGAACAAAGGGGAGGCTTATTGCTGAAATAATTTTGTGGAATGAAGGTTTGATTGCAAGTCAGCGATCTCTATTTTCTTGGAACTCAAGCCAGTGGTGTTGACTGGTGAGTGTTGTTATGAATGAATGCACATTAAACACAGCACTGTTAATTTGAGCAGCATTTTTTAATGTATCTGCCATGTTGGAGTGAAGTATTCAAGGGTCGGGCCCCATGAATTTATCTTCTTGTCAGATGCAGGACACAGATTCTGGTTGGTGACCTTTGTGCTTCTTGGCACTGCACTCTGGGCTGGCTTGTCCAGAGTCAGCCTTCCTTCCTCCCATTCTAGGATTTCCTAGCCTCCTGGTTCATTGCCCTGATGCCCACTGGTGAGCCAGCAGCTCTCCAAATGAGTGTTCTTGTGAGAACTGCTTGCCTGGCTCCTCAGCCCCCCACCCCACAGCCCTGTTTAAAACCCAGAAAGAGATTTGGAAGCTAACGTCCTGCCTAGTGATGTTAAACTGGCGTTCTGTGTGTCTGTGTTTCCATTGTGGATCATGATATCCAGGGGGAAGCTCCGATCTTGGCCCTGACCTTTGCCTCTGTGTCTTTAGTCCAGTCACTCCATTCCTGATTCGTTCCTGGTTTTAAAGATATGGGGCTGGGAGATGACTCTGTGACATGGTGCTTTCTGCACATGCGTGAGGACCTGCGTTCCACCCCCCCAGCACCTACAGAAAATAGGTGGGTGTCTGCAACTGCAGTGCTGGAGGTGGGCAGGGACTGGAGAATCCTGAGGGCTAATTGACCAGGCAGCATAGCAAAACCACTTCAAGCTCCAGGTTCAGTGAGAGATGTTGATTCAAAAAGTAAGTGATGGAGGAAGAAATCCCAATTTCAGCCTTGGCCTGCAGGCTTGCCAGCAAAGGCAAGTGCACTAACATCCATGAACACACACACACACACACACACACACACACAGGCACACACTCACACACACATGCACTCGTGCACACTTTTGACTTCAGGAATCTTTTCTTTTGACTTGAAGAATAATTAAAGAGAGGGCAAGTTAATCTACTCTGCCTTCATTAGGACTCTGCCTCCTAGGCCACAGGCAATATTCTCTGGCCCGTTTTGTTTTCCTTGGCAAACACCCGAGACTAAGCACAAAGTTCAGGATTTCAGTGAATGGTCAGAGAATCATTTCTAACTTCTGACATGTGAAACTGGCTTTTGACCGACTTAGAACTTTTGACAGTCTGATCAGGCAGTACAGGTAAACTCCCTGAGGATGGAGACTGTCACAAGCCTTCATCAGTGTTTTGTCGATGACTGCAGAAAAGTTCATAAGCACCACCTACTGTGACCACTCCTGCTCCTATGCTGACACCATCACAGTATTAAGTAAAGAAGTAGAGAACTGAGCCTCAGTATGTGTAGGCACCATGCATCTTGCCAAAGGCCTTCCTTTTACTGGCATCATCCTTGACTTTCCATAAAAAAAAACTACATTAATACTGACTTTCAAAAGAGTCAACGTTTTACTCCTTTATGTTGGATTGGGAAGAGCCTTTTAAGCAAGGGCTATGCCTTTTTATTTTGCATTTAACAATAAACTTGATAAAATGCTTGCTGTGCAAGTGTGAAGAGTTGATTTCAGTCCTGACAAGCATATAAACAGCTGGAAGAAAAGTAACACAGTTGTAGTCCGTAGTGACTTGAATGGGCAGAGCAGGAGCTGCATGCCCTGAGCTGGCCTTTGGAGTCTCAGGAAGGAGCAAGAGTAAGTGTGCAGAACGCAGGAAGAGGTGCAGCTCTGTATGGTGAGTGGCCCACGCCTGATTAGAGCCCTTTGAATGCTCTTGGGTTTTCTGTCCATTCCTGGCTCCCTGAGCTTCCTCTCGGATTAGTAGAGCTTCTGGAAGCAATGAGAGGTTCCTTCCCCTGCTGACCCCTGGAAGCTGGCAAAGGTCTAGAGTGCACTCTGGGAACTGAGGGTGACTCAGGCTTTCCAGTCCCATCCCCTAGAGAGCTCCCACCGTTTTTCTAGAAGTGCTTCCCAGTGCAGTGTGGTAGGAAGTCTATTGTCAAACACAGAGGCAGGCAATCCCCATCAGTCACCCTTCCCACCCCCAGGAAAAAAAGGAACTTGGGTTTTCCATATAAACTCCTGCTCGTCACTGTGCCTGCAGCAGACCCAGACATTCATCTCAAAATCCATTTCAGCTAGCAGAGAAGCATGGAGTCCCCAAGGCCAGGATGGCTGTCATGCATCATCCCAGTTGGACAAGAGGTAAAAGGGAACCCGAGGGGAGTCTTCTTTGTCAGTTTGAATTTCTCTCATGTTTGCTTATCATATCATTTCTAAAGTGCCCAAAATTTAGGTGAAAGACTATTACCAAGGTTTTCGAGAAACAAAAGTTGGCAAATGCCTGTGTTAATTTTGTCCAGCCCTGTGCAGGAAATCTGGGTTTGTCCCAGAGTCGGTTTGGCCCTGCAACAGCCCTAGCTGCAGCCATGTACAGGGCCCAGGAGGAAGCCACTGTCTGTTTGGTCCTGGAGGGGTTTGGAGGGCCAACAGGTCACCAGGAATCAAAGGTGAAGCTTTTCTTTCTGGTGACCTGAATGGTTTCCACTTGTTCTCAGCTAGGCCTTTTATCATCAAGAGTGCCCTCTTGGTTGTCCTTTGGGATATGGGAAATGGCACTTTAACTAAAAATGACACACTGGGAAAGGAGGAGGCGGTGCCTGAAGCAGGGCATGGGGCAGGTCTTCAAGATGACTGTCTTTGGTGCCAGCCAGCGCTCCCCTGTCCCCCGCCCCACGCCCTGTGAGGTTTGCCTGACTGTGGAGCTCGAATGGTAGGCACAGATGGTGTGAACAACAACAGAGCAGCAGCAGCTGCCTGGGGTGGGGGTGGTGTCACTCACAATGCAGTGGAGGAAAGACATGAAATGCAAGTCCCATTGTGGGGATGAGTCACAGGGAGATTTCTCAGACCCACTGGACCTCTGAATTAGGAACAAGGTCAGGTGCCAAGTGCGAGGACGGATACGTAGTTGGGAACTTACTCTCAATGGCATCTCTATCAACAGAGTGTGTCCCATGGCAGTTGGGACATCAAGCAACAGATTAGATGGCGGCATCTTTTCAAAACCTGCCAATCTGAACTGACTTTGCAGAACCCAATATGATGTGAAATTTAATATAAGGCATTTAAGACGTTAGGGGAAAGATCCCTGTGGAACTGCAGAACAAAGACACTTCACATTGTGGGTTCTCTGCATAGTTTAACA